ACCTTTTTGTGATCAAACCCTTTTACAACCCATCTAGCTTTATACTGTAGCTATGAAGTGAGCTCATTTTACTTCATCCTGTAGATCCAAATGTCCTTCAAAGCTCTTTTATCCTTAGATAGCTTCACTAACTCGAATGTGTGGTCATCATGCAATAAATGCATCTTATCTTGCATGGCCTCAACCTACTTTATCTTATGTTCATCATCCATGCCTTCTGTATAACGGTTGGGCTCTTCTCCATCAATCAATAATACATATTGCTCTATGGAATATCGTGTGGAAAGATGTCGATCTCTAGTAGACCTCCTGAGAGGAACCTCTAGTGAACTTCTGGTGTAATAGTTGGCACTGTCAACTGCTCATCGGTCTCATCATGTGCTTGAGTATACAAAAGAGTATCAACATCACCTATACCCTGGTGGCCATCCTTAGCATCATCCTCAACTCGAGTTGGTAAATTCTTCAAAAAACCCGATCCAAATCAATGAAATTATGACCCTAATGAAGTACAGATTTTTATACTTTCTCAATATCCTAAATCATCTGATCTTCAACAAATGTGACATCTCTACTTCTCATCATTTTGTTCTCAACTGGATCATAAAGCCGGTATCTAAATTCATCTTGACCATAACCAAGGATATACATTATCGTGTTTTCCTATCAAGCTTGGACTTCTCATCTTTAGTAACATGTACAAATGCTTTATACCCAAACGTACGCAAGTGATCGTAGGAAACATTCTTACCAATTCAAACTCTATCAGGTACATCATATTGTAAGGGAACACAAGGTGTAAAATTCAATATATGTACGACTGTGCTCAGTGTCTCACTCCAAAAGAATCATGACAACTGGGCTAGAGAAAGTAAAAGTCTATCTCTTAACTAATGTTCTATTCATCATTTCAGCCATGTCATTCAATTGAAGAGTTTTTGGAGTTATCTTTTGAGGTCGATTTCCTTGTTGCATGCAATACTTATCAAAAGGACTAAAATACTCTATCCCATTATGAGTTCGGATGCACCTTAGCTTTTTCCCAATATATCTATCAACCTGGGCCTGAAATTGCTTCAACACACTCAACACTCGATCTTTTGTCTTCATGGTATAAGCATATAACTTCCTTGAATAAACATCTATGAATGTTACAATGTAACATGAGCCGCCAAGTGTTCTCATCTTTATAGGACCACACAAATATGAATGTACCAAATCCAGTATTCTTTACTTTCTTGAAGGACAGAAATTCTTGAATAAGACTTTGTTTTGCTTCACAACACACACATTAAGTACACATTTTTAGATGTGTACTTTTCATTCCACTTATTACATTTTTCTTCCTCAATATGGCTAATCCTTTCTCACTTATGTAAGCAAATCTCTTATGCCACAACTCTACTGCAACATCACCCTTCATTACATTAAAAATGTTACTGGAGAGATTTGCATGCAAAATGTATAATGTTGAGATCTTTTTGTCTTAAGCCACAACCATAGCACCCCAATTAAGCTTTCACTGGCCATTACTAAAGGTACCGTCATACCTATCACCATTAAGTTTTTCTGTAGAAATCAAGTTCAAACGGATGTCTGTAATATACTTCACATCTTTAAGAACCAACCTTGAACAATTATTCACCTCTAGATACACATCTTCAATATCAATAACTTTAACTAGGCAATCATTTCTCATCTTTATAGTTTCGCAATCACCAGATCTATAGGAGGTAAAGAAATCTTTTCACGATATAGCCTGAATGGAGGCACCACTATCAATCACCCAATCAACCTCGTGACTTGCAATATTTATCATCTCATCATCATAAATAATGAAGAAGTCTACTGGAGTAGTGGTAGCAACTCTATCACCACCATCTTTATCATCCTCATTCATTCCTTCATTCCCTTTCTCATTCTTATTTTCTTTCTTCCATTACCTACAATATTTCTTGATGTGTCCCTTTTTTCCCACAATGACACTTGACATTCGCAAAATTATTCCACTTGCCACTGCTTCTGTCTCCGTTTTATGGACCTTTGTTTTTACTCCTCCCTTTTTTTCTATAACCAAGACCTCTGATTGCAAAGAGGATTCCTGTGATTTTCTTCTAATCTCTCCATTTAACATACTACTCTTTTCCATATCCATTGTGATGACATCATCTGGAGCAGAGTTAGATAATGAATTTCTAAGTCTCCCACAAGTCCGATAGTGAACCAAGCAACCATAACCCCTGAATCTCATCATCAAGCTCAATACCTATTCTAATCAACTGATTAATAATTTCTTGAAATGCATTCAGACAATCAGTTAAAGGGGTCCCATCCTGATATCTCAATGGCATCATCTGCTTAATTAGAAACATTTAATCATTCCGATCTTTCTAACATATAACTTTTCAATGTTACTCCATAGAGTACGAGCATGTATCTCCCCACTAACATTGTTCAAAACATTATCATTTACTCATTGCCTGATATATCATAGACCTTTTGATGCAACAAAGTCCATTCTTCATTAAACTTGTTATTCGACTTTTCAGTAGCAAATACCAGTAGGTAATAGTCCTTCACATAAAATAGGTCTCCATTTTTCTTTCTATATGTCATAGTTTTTAACCATTCAAGTTAATCATTTTACTTAAATTTGCTTCCATAATGCAAAATCCAAATCTGGGAACTTGGCTCTGTTACCACATGTTGGGAGGGATGTAAACAAATAGATACATAGCTAAATAATTATTCTTCCAATAAGCAAATAAGTAAAGTGTCTTGTCAAAAAATTATATATGCTGAAATATTATAAAGAAGATCAATCACACAAAGTCACATGAATACAAGCAATTATTTTACGTGAAAAACTAACCGAGTGTGAGGAATAAAAATCAAGGACCTAGTCTAGTAAAAAATTCCACTAACAACCAAATAATGGATATAAAAAGTCATCTCTAGTCGCAACTAAAGGCTAAAACTTATATTTTTTCAAGATAACGAAAACCTCGATAATACAATTTGAAATAGGAAGAATATACTTACAAACCTATTGTTACTATTTGTTAGATTTTAAAGTTGTTGACAATCTTTTGACAAAACTATTAGAATTAAGCCCTGCGTACAAGGCTTAATTTCACAGGCCCCACCCCAATGTATTAAAAAAATATGTGGCCCCCACTCCCATGTATGTTACCTAGCAGGGGCCTGTGAAGTAGGCCCATGTAAGTGTAGCACTACTCAAACTATTATTATAAAAGAGTTTTTAAAAATCAAAGTTTCAAGTGAAGTCCTAGGGTTCAAGTATGGAACGAAGGAAAAAGAGTCACCTTAATTTCGCTAGCCTATCGCCCAATTGATACTCGAGCGGTAAGAACAGAAGTTACGTCGTCTGTCTGTCACTTGGACTTCGCTCGAGTGACACACCGTTTCTCGCCTGTCATTGAGCTGTCGCTCGAGCGACGATGTATCATGAGAAAACCTAATTCACATTTTTCAAGGTTTTTATCCGGCTCATACTACCAAAAACCTCTACACTATGGGTGAGTTTGACACCCATTTTTTGGAAAATAGTATTTTTGGAATAGTGATTGATGGGAGAATGTGTGGTGAAAAAGTTATGAAAATTTTTAGATTTGTGTGTACTATTATTTTATTGAGAGAATGTGTGGTTGAAATGAGAAAAAAAATGAGAATGAGATGAGAATTGATGCCAAACAGGGGTTATATATATGCATGCCACCATTCAAAAAAATAAGAGCTGAACATTGAAAGAAACAAGAGATTAATTCTTCCATATCATTCTTAGATTTCAACCTTCATATTGAGTTCATCATTGCATTGAAAACATCAACCTCACATTAACCAAACACCTAAACACATACTTCCATAACATCTGTCTGAAGATCAAGGAAGGTGACCGAGTTTTTGGTTATTAGAGAACGAGGAGTTCTCATTGATCCATATGAGATAGACGAATTCAGAAGGCTGAGAGTTGGTGCAGGAGCACGCAATCCAAAAGGGTTTTGGTTATTATAGTCAGAAGGTCAGAAAATACTAGAGTTAGTCGAGTTTGACAGTACTATAAGTTGATTCATTTATAGTAAATTTTTACTGGTTTGGGCTCGGAATTTTTACCTAGTTACGAGTTTTCTCCATCAACAATTTTTAGGTATTATTTATTTTTTAGTAATTTATTATCTGCGACAATATAATATAGGATCGTAGTGCATTTATTAATTGGTAAATTTAAATTCCGCATAAACACCTATTCACCCCCCTATAGATGTTAGTTGGGTCGAACTCCGTTACTTTCACTATTCACACACGAACCAATGTTTCTGAGCTCAAAATTTGATATCCACCATACAGATTGTAGCTCCCTGTCTTGCGAACTTCTCCTCTAAATTTCAGCTCAATCAAAGAACAGACAACTTGGGTGAGCTTTGAAGAAATCTGAGCGCATAAAAAACTATTTTTTTTTCTCTTTTTGGAAAAAAAGCTAGGGCTCTTTTTTCCCATATTCTTGTATTTAAACTTATCTTTAGGGTTAAAACCTTAAAAGGCTTTGGACTAAAACAAAAGACCCCAAACTTGGACTTTCCTCCTCATAAAAGGAAATAACCAAACATTTATTTCTTTCCTTGTAATTTTTACGGGGTGGGGGACATAAATATTCATGTTTAAGCTGAATTTTTGATAATATTGTGACAATTTAATTATTCTTTTCTGAATCAAATGCCTAGAACATAAGTAGAGAAAAATTGTAAAGAAATTTAATCGGGCAGGAAGAATCCAAGATCTCATGGTGATTGGGATCCCCCTTTCCTCAAGAATAAATAAAAATTTGTAAATTATCCAAGAAAATTTGTTGTAATACAGAAAGATTCATCAGAAAATAAAACTTAAGGAATGTCAAAATTCACTAATTCCAAAGGATTAAACACACCATATATGCAATGACATAGTCTTTTACACATGCAGGATGATCAACTAATTTGTACTTATTGCTGGAATGGAACACTGGAGGTGGGAATATAGACAGAACTGGGGTTACCTGCAAATGAAACCATGTTTGTCATTTCTGAGTTGATTCTATCATTATTCACATCCCAATTTCCAAGAAATCCAATGAAATTGTTGTTGGAATAATCATCGACAGCCCAAGAATTTGTGCTTGAATTTCCCAGGAATTTCTCAATTATTCCCACATCAGATAATTGATTTTCCAGTGAGTTAGTATAGGCATCATGCTTCTGATTTTGAGAACTTGATTCTTCAACAGCTTCAAAAGAACTACCAAAGGGCCTTAATTGTTGAAAATCATTAGGGTTTGAATCAAACCACTTATTCGAATTTTCAAGGCCATCGATTATCATTTTTTTTCGTGTTCTATCCCTTGCCCTTGCTCTTGCCTTGTCCCGGGACTCCCTCGAATTAGGTTTATACACAGATTTTTGCGGTTTCTTGTCATTTTTCTTTCTTTCTGTACTTGCATTTTTTCTTGCAACTCCTTTGTGTGCATTGATCGAATTCTCTTCTATTACTGACACCGTGTCATATTCAGAATTTAAATCGTCAATGATAGAATTGATCTTTACTTTTGGATTGTTTTTGCTCAGCTCCTTAATTGCCTTCTTCGATTTAGTAAAAAGCCATTCTATTGTTTTGCTTGCTTTATCATAGCCTAGCAAGTCTTGAAGACCAAAGAACTTTCGCGCAACTTGAAGCGATAACCTCATTCTCCGGCCTCTCACCCCCTGTGCTGTACAAATCTTGCTATGCCTATCCTTTTTCCCGGTTCTCTTTAACAGTAGTGGCCCAAGATTTTTCCTCGAAAGTGTAATCGCCTCATTAGGAATTGATTCAATTGACTTTTCATTCAAGTTGAAGGGATCAATATTGCTGCCTTTTGTTGCTCCTTTTTTTGTACTATCAAGATAGGTTTCTATCTGGTAATCGTGAGCTATCCAATTACGCAAAGTCATGGGCTGATTTTGAAATGATATTTTATTCAAGGGAATTTCATTGTCATCCAGAAATGGTGAAGGGACGTGGTAGAAAAGTGAAGGATCGTCTTGTTTTGGGCTAGGTTTTTGATCAAATGGAAAAGACCTCTTGAACAAAGAGTCAAAAGGGTTATCAATGTTGCTTGAAGGATACATTTCTCCTGCACCAGATTTTGTCTCTAAACTTATTCTAGAGAGTTTATGTTATGATCTAACTGGAGTAATTATGCACAGAAACTGAAGATGATAAGAGTGCAACTACAGAAAAAATGTAGAGAGAGAGAGTGAGAGAGAGAAAGTTTACCAGTTTGAGATAGGGCTCCCCAACCACCATATGTGAAGATCTAAGAGGAGATGATGCAGTATTGATGGTGATGGAGTGGTGCAAAGGAGGACAATAAACAAGAAAGTGATGCTTATGTAGAGAGAGAGAGTACCAGTTTGAGCTAGGGCTCCCCAACCACCATATATGAAGATCTAAGAGGAGATGATGCAGTATTGATGGTGATGGGGTGGTGCAAAGGAGGACCATAAACAAGAAAGATATGCTTATGTATATGAACAATCTAATGCAATAGCTTTGCCTTTTGTCTTCATCAACTGTTTCGAAGGCTGGCAGAGAGACAGACTGGGAGAGGATAAGAAATACACAGAACTATGGGTTAGAACTCACGTGGGAGCAGGTTGGAATTTGATAGCACGGGTTGGTTGGTGGTTAAATTATCACCAACCAAACATGCATTAAACAAATTTCATGATTTTATTTTTTTTTAGAAATTAACGTTAGACATGAAACGCTACAGAACGCAACATTAACCTTAAATAAATGGTCATGTGCTAGACATGTGACTATTTACCAAAAAATGACAGTTTCCAATCAAGTGAGAACTCATGTGAACTGAAGTTGAAAGTTTGTGACTAGATTTAAATTAATGAATAAGGGTCAATTCGGAGTTCTCGATTAATTGTCTCCAATTGTTTCTTTTTTATCTTTCTTATTTTTTTTCTCCATAAAATTAACTAGAATAAAACGTAAAGTAATTTCACAAAGTTTCTACATGTTTAAACAGTAAAAATTCTGCAGAGTTTCTTTAAAGTTTTTGTACTCAATCAGAAAACACGCTAAGAACAGAGTTTTTGCTTTTCTTAATTTTCAAACTAAAATCTGTGAAGTTGATAAGCTCAAAAAATATGTGGTCATGTACAATGACAGATGGTAAAAGCCCTAAAATTGCAGTTCAAAGCCTAGATGCGCTAAAGGCTAAGGACCGGAAAATTATTTGAAGTCGTATTAAACCTACTTTATTTCCATTGGAGGCCATGTTTCTTTTTAAGGACCGGACAATTATTTGAAGTCGTAGTAAACCTACTTTATTTCCATTGGAGGCCATGTTTCTTTGACTGGAACACCACCCGTCACTTTCACTACAAAAGTTGGCACCCCACTCCCACGGCCACCCCCACGCACCGCTTTTCTTTCCGTTGGAAACTTAGGCTATGTTTGATATGCTTAATTTTCTAGGGAAGTCCAAATTTATAGCTGTTTGATATGCTTAGTTTTCTAGGAAATTTGTTTTTCAAGTGACCACTTCACACGCTTCTTTACTTGCTTTTTAAGGAATATATTTTCCTTTGGTTTTGGTGAAAATATGTTTTCCATCTTCTTTTTTTTTTTTTTTTTTTTTTTTTTTTTTTTTTTTTTTTTTTTTTTTTTTTTTTTTTTTTTTTTTTTTTTTTTTTTTTTTTTT